AAAGCATGAGTGCGTGTGTACTAAAATGCTGACCCCTTAGCTCCCCCTGAACAAAATGGGTGACACCCCACCCCACCCACCTCCAACCCATACAATCAACACCCCCACCCGCAGCCATATATTTAATTATGAGCGGTTCCTTATATTGATGTACTTCATTGATTATTTGAAAATGTATGTTTGCAAAATTCAAATCAGGTGATAGATGCGAAAGGAAATCTTATTCGATTATATAATAAAATGCCAAATATATGCATGCAAATATATTGAAAAATAACAAAACAAAATTTTGAGAAACATGTACTGTGACATACCGGTAACCTTGTGAGATAAAACATGAGCCCTAATTGGGGTTTCTTGCTACTGCTAGATTTAAGCGGCATTCCCTACGTTTTCATTATACATGAAGGACATACTTACCAAATAAACACCAGCTTGCCGTGAAGATGGTGAAAATAGAAACGATATTGCGTTGAACTTCCGCCAAAGTGAACTGATAGCGATCAGCTGCCTTGCTAACGTGATGCGATAATTAATAGCATGTCGGATATATGGCCAAGCGAGGCGTCGAAGGTCAACATCTGGCTTGTGTTTGAAAGCAAATTGTCGGAATTATACAATTTTCACAGTTTTGTGGGAAAATATCAAATGTAATGCAATTTGGATAACTGATGACTTTTATACCTAAAACTGCGATTTACGTAATATTTCCGTCCGTTGATCGATGCACAATCAAATAATATATAAGATTATATCTGTCACTAGCTCGATCTTGATCTTTTATGAAAATAATGTTCGAAAGGATAGTTGCTAAGTTGGATACCTATTACCAATATGAATTATGTGTCAAATTTGCCAAAGAAACAATTAGTTGACATTTTGTTGGTTCCTTACGTTGAAACAACGTTGACAACTAAACGAATCTCGACTTAACTTTCTTTGGTCGCATGATAAACGTTGAATCAACGTCTATGAAAGGTTGATCAACCAAACAACCAAAATTCAACGTTGATTCAACGTTGATTCAACGTTGTGTGCCCGCTGGGCAGCTTTAATTCTACAATTATGACGATACATTCATGTATACAGTCTACAAGCTGACAACTTGCAAGTTTATTGTACCTTTATATAAGGAAGTCGGAATTATATTCAAAACTTAAGTTACTTTCACGACAGCCAGGAAAATAACCTACCCAGCATTAAAATTACAGGCGGTATTTCGGCGGAGTTTTAGCGTTTACCTTTAACCCTCGAAACCGTGGTCACTTTCGGGTAACCGGGGAAGCTTCACGGTGAAGACCGGCGATTATGCTAATATCAGCGGCGGCAAGATTTTATACAAGGTTTTTCCTGCTACACGGTGACATCACAGCGGGGGTATTCTACAGAATCAAAATGCCTTGTTCTGATTGGACGCGTTGGACAGCGACCTCGCGAAGTCGATCTTAGATTCACAGTTCAAGACTTACGTTACAAGTGACAACTATATATCAGTGAGCGAGCAAGCCTCCTTACAGTCCAGTTAATCTGAACCTTCATGATTGGGCTGCTTTCTTCAGATTAGAGACCTCCCCTGTCAAGTTAGGGCGAGACACGGCAGTCAGGCGATTTTACATGAAGTTCAAGCGAGGACAGACACACCTGGTTGTGCACCTACATCGTCAAGGACTTACGCAGCGAATAACCTAGACGACGGGATACAAGTGGATCTAAATCCTGGCGTCTCCAGACTACAGCTGAATTTCATCATCAAGCTACTAACACAACTAGATGGTTAGTAAACCTACTTAAGCTTTCTGATTGGAGAATTAAGCGGAAGTTTCACCCTCCAACTTGGGGATCTGAATATAGTGCTCCAACACCTCACAAGTGAGGTTTTGAACAACGCCTGGATGACATACTTGGACTCCATGATCACGATGATTCTATCCACGATGGCCAGCAAGAGCACTGTAAATTTATCTCCACCGAACCAAACAGGAGGAAAAAATGCAAAGATTATTTCCTCTATCATCAACTTGCATAGAATGAAGTCTTACGTACTATATCTCCGTTTGGATCAGAACTGTCATACTACGTGCCTACAAGACGGATGGACCCAATCCGACCCTCCATGAGCTTTAATACTCATGATATTAGAGCTAACTTCTACAATTGATCTACACAAATGTTATTTGAAATAATGGAGGGTTTATTTCTGGAGATCCGATATGGTGGTTGCCAACCATTATCTGAGAGATATCACCACCGAGGGCGTCTCAGGTATCCACCAATTCGATCCCATGGTCACTGAAAAGCACAACAGTTGACAGTTCCTCGGAGAAGATAAGTCAATCTTACAGATTTTTACTTATCTTATAACAGTACTAAATAGCTACATGCTATATATAATTTGCTTAAGTTCCTTTTATCATCACAGTACTATGATTATTACATCATACAATATATAAGTTAACAACTCTACAGAGTTTGTTATTATATATTTACCTTAAGTTAATCATATCTTAAGAGTAGTACTATGGTTACATGATAAATGCATTAGCTAACAAACTCTACAGAGTTTTTGGCTATTATATACGTAGCTTAAGTTAATTATATCTTAAGCATAGTACTATACTCATATTGTAAAAATATATTAGCTAACAAACTCTACAGAGTTTTTGCTATTATATAGGTAGCTTAAGCTTATTCATATCTTAAGCTCAGTACTATGTTTATATCATATAAGTATATTAGCTAACAAACTCTAAAGAGTTTTTTGCTATTTGGCTTAAGTGTCATCATATCTTAAGCAATATGGTTACATTATAACATGTATTAGCTAACAAACTCTGAGGAGTTTTGTTATTATATATGTAACTTAAGCTTATTCATATCTTAAGAGCAGTACTATGTTTATATCATATAGGTATATTAGCTATCAAAAATCTAAAAGAGGTTTTTGCTATTATATATTTGGCTTAAGTTTCATCATATTTTAAGCTTTATGGTTACATTATAACATGTATTAGCTAACAAACTCTACAGAGTTTTGCTATTATATATGTAACTTAAGGTTTCCTTCATAAGCTCAATACTAGGTTTATATCATATAAGTATTTTAGCTAACAAACTCTAAAGGTTTTTTGCTATTATACAATTAGCTTAAGTTTCATCATATCTTAAGCAGTATGGTTACATTATGAAATGTATTAGCTAACAAACTCTCTGGAGTTTTGCTATTATATATATAGCTTAAGTTTAATCATATCTTAAGCTCAGTACTATGTTTATAACATAAAAGTATATTAGTTAATAAACTCTAAGGAGTTTTTGCTATATACATTTAGCTTAAGTCTAATCTTATCTTAAGCTTAGTACTATGGTTACATTATAAATCTATTAGCTAATAAACTCTACAGAGTTTTTGGCTATTGTATATGTAGCTTAAGTTAATTATATCTTAAGCACAGTACTATACTCATATTGTAAAAATATATTAGCTAACAAACTCTACAGAGTTTTGCTATTATATATGTAGCTAAAGCTTATTCATATCTTAAGCTCAGCATTATATCTATATCATATAAGTATATTAACTAACAAACTCTAAAGAGTTTTGCTATTATATAATTAGCTTAAGTTTAATCATATCTTAAGCTTAGTACTATGTTTATATCTTAAAGTATTTTAGCTAACAAACTCTAAGGAGTTTATACTAGCATATTAACAAGCTTAAGTCTATTAGTCTTAAGCATTGTATTAATGTTATATATACTTTATCATAATAAAGAACATTGTAATAACCTTTATATGGCAGCTGATAAGTTTGCAGCAGGAATTCATCAGTTCAGTGCCTTTATGAAGTTCCCATAGGGTTATTACAATCATCACAGTTCAAATCACTAATTATTAAAATCAAAGTATTATATATTCCCACCTCCTTTGCCGTAGGATTCTACAAGCAAAAGAGCATGAGTCAGGATAAGGGGAAAATATGTAATTTTTAGAGTAAAATTGATATTTTATACTTATCCTGACTCATGAGTAAGCCCTCCCATCCTCCCACATAACACTTTGGATTTCCTGTAAATTCAAATGTTGGGCTCAGTATATGAGGAGAGAGTGAGGCACATGGGTGGAGGTGGCCCTCGTTCCCGAGCTTGTGGAAGGGAGGTAACTCGTGGTGAGTACTAATTAGTGATTTTACATTGAAGGGAGCTTCAATTAGGGAGATACAAGTGTTCCACTATGTTCGCAAGAAGAAGAAGACAAGCAAAAAGAGCATGAGTCAGGATAAGTATAAAATATCAATTTTACTCTAAAAATTACATATTTGAACAAATTAAGAGATTTTTAATATTACAGAGATTGCAATAATGTTAAACTACCAGTAAGCATTTAAGGCAATTCCTCTCTGATTGCCCCTATTGCCATGCAGTGATATGCCAGTCGCCTCAATAAAAGACCATAATACTTATTGTTCTGTTCTTCCTGTCCTGCTTGTTCTGTTTTGCTCTGGCAAGATTACTGGTGTTAGATTTGACTTCTGTTTATGTCATCTACTTGTATCTTAAGGACCTTCTCTACCTTGGTAATCAGGAAAACCTGTTTGCCATGTGTCCCCATGCCGTGATATGCTGGAATATTGCTGACTGATGTTGTTGGAAATAGCGTAAACCAAATTCAGTTAATCAGCCAGTCTCTACCTTGGTCATCAGGAAAACCTGTTTGCCATGTAAATGTTCCTGAATGACAATAGACTGATTCAGTTCAGTGCATGGAGGGCCAACTCACACATGACCATATTTGGAAGAGTGACGAGTAACAACAAATGAAGTTGCAGTTCATTTGTCACGGATCAGTGTTTATACTCTCAACCACTGGTTCAATGTTCCTGTGAATGATGTCACCCCGTTCCTTCACCCACCAAACATCCTTACTGTGCCTTGCTTGCAGACATCTACTTTACAAGATCTTCTTTTCATTAAGTGCTTATATCAATCTTTGCACTGTTTCAGAGTGATCCTGCGAAGTCCGTATGTGGGTAGTGGTTTCATCAACCACAGTCAGTACAAACAGATGACTGGGCGGGCAGGGCGGGCTGGTATTGATGACTCGGGGGAGAGTATGCTCATCACAAAGAAGGCTGACGCTCCCAAGGTAATCCAGCAACGTCCTCCATTGTATGAATGATTGCAAATGGCTGAAAAACCCACATGTGGGATCTGCATCACTTCAGACTAAACATTAGCTGATATACGACACATTTCTACCAAACTCTATCTATTATGTAACTAGATCTCAAACACTGGGTCATGTTTGTGTTCAAGCTGGTCCACTATGCTACCTGCATCCCAACATGTTCCTTAAGTAACTATTTGAGAGGTTATTCATGAACAACTCCCAGCCCTTGTATGTAGTGTTGGGAATCGGAAACCAAATCCACTATCGATTATCGGAGTACTTGTGGTGAACGATTATCGAATATAATCGAAATATATACATTTTTAATGTAATCGCCAATTTTAAGGGGTTTTCCCCGTGTTTTTTCTAATTAATGTTTTTTTAATAAAAATGCGCATAGCTTTATGCTGTTGAGCGCATGTTTGTTCGTGAATATTCATCAAATTAAATGGTTAGTATACTTAATTCAAGAGTGTTATACAAAAACAACAAAATTCCGATTAAACAAATTATTTTTTTACAATCGATATTCATTCTTAATCCTTCTTTCGATCGATTTTCGATTTTTTTGGATCATCGGAACCCCACTACTTGTATGTGTCTGGCCAGGTGCGTGAACTGCTGACCACGACTCAGGAACCCTGCCACAGCAGCCTGATGTACGATGAAGGGAAGGGCATCCGCAGTCTGCTACTCTCCTCCATTGGACTCAAGGTAATTGTCACACTATGGGTAGAAAATAGCATTGCAGATTTTACTGGATGTAAAGTATATAAAATTACCTTTGACCTTCATACTTCCGTAGTACAATAAGTATGGTTGTATCACTCATTTACGACAATGAAAAGCACATAAGATGTAATCTTGATAAGGGCATTTGTAATATTATGTTATGTTTCGTCATGACCGTACACTTTCTCGTTTGCTTCACCAGTGGTACACAACAAATACCTGCATCATACAGTAGAGCTGTATTCTTGCACTGATATAATAAGTCTAGTGCTGAATCTGAAAGTTGGATATGGAATCATTAGCTTCAGGATTCCAACACTGTTTTATCCCCCAAGTTATTACAGTGTGTATCAATACAAAACACAGTATATTATCCATGTACATACTCAAATCAATATGGGCCTGACAGTCCGGGTTAGAATATTGACCTTCAGTAACCCATGCTTGTCGTAAGTGGTGACTAACGGGATCGGGTGGTCAGGCTCGCTGACTTGGTTGACTCATGTCATCGGTTCCCAATTGAGCAGATCAATGCTCATGCTGTTGGTCACTGGATTGTCTGGTCCAGACTCGATTATTTACAGACCGCTGCCATATAGCTAGAATATTGCTGAGTGTGGCGTAAAACTAAACTCACTCACTCAAATCAATAACACAAATCAATGATTGATATAGTAAGAACAGTCTGTAATGACTGTTGACGGAATGTTACTTCCATTTCAGATTTTGAAATCAACTGATGAGATTCTGAGGTTCATGAAGCAGACCTTACTGTCGGTGCAAGCAGCTGACCTGGGCTGTGATCTGGAAGCTGTCACCAGAGCCTCTCTCAACCAGCTGCTGAAGCTGAAGCTGGTACAGCAGGCCAGGAGTACACCTAACTCGTCTCAGGTGGGTGGACTCACATGTACAGGTGATGTGTCTCAGGTGGGTGGACTCACATATACAGGTGACGTGTCTCAGGTGGGTGGACTCACATATACAGGTGACTTATCTCATACAACTGTACACCATACTTGCATACATACGGAGCAGTGTGTCTATTGTTTCATTCAGTTTCATCATTTTTCCTTATCCTGACTCATGCTTTTTTGCTTGTCTTCTTCTTCTTTGCGAACATAGTCGAACACTTGTATCTCCCAATTGAAGCTCCCTTCAATGTAAAATCACTAATTTGTACTCACCCTGAGTTATCTTTCCCCTCGTAAGCGCGGGAACGAGGGCGCCACCTCCCACCATGTTCCTCACTCTCTCCTTCTTCGCCCAGTGAGCTGGACGTGAGAGCGCCTGTGTCTCCCTACACACGGATATCAAATACAACTCAAGGCCACACCTCCGTTAACAGTCACCCCTCCAAGGTTCGACTTTCAACCGGCTCAACTACCTATGTTAAGAGAAACAGTAGCTACTCTGCTAAGCAAACAGGCCTTAGAAGTTCTGGATCAGCGAAACATCGTACCAGGTTTCTACTCCCCAGTTTTCCTAGTGCCCAAGAAGAATTCCAAGGAAAAGTTTCGTCTCATATACAACATGAGCTATATCCTTATTTATATTTAGTTTGGTACCTCTTATATTCATCTATAGAGGTGTAACTAGTATCCTTATTCAACATGCATTGATAATTATTCGTGTTTCTGCTGCTTTATGCACGGTTCGCCGTGTTTGCTCAGCAGTTTGCGTCAATGAAAAAATCTGCATTGTTTGTAAATTACGCAACCTAGAACCAACGCAAGATCTGCAATTTCTAGGCATACGATTTTTAACAGCCCAGAATCGTATAGTAGTCCCGGAGGACAGATGGATCAAGATCCAACAGTTAATCCCACAAGCCTTACTTTCTCCGCTACCACTACGACAGTGGCAGATCCTATTGGGACTACTCACTTCAGCCCAAGACTTGACAGTCAGAGGCAGGCTTCAATTACATCCGTTACAAGTCCTCATCAATGCGCATCTCGAGGACCCTCTACCGTTCAGTCTACCAGATCACGTCAAACCTCATCTACTCTGGTGGACCAACAGATTGAATGTTTGTGTAGGCGTCTCCTTATTAGAGCCGGAATGGAAACACATCTCTCGTGAGGCGCGTCACTACAAGGTTGGGGGAGCCCACCTCGCCTACAAGACAGTGTCAGGCCTATGGAGCAAACAAGAGAGCAAATATCACATAAATCTGCTAGAGATGCAAGCAGTCATAAACGCCATAAATCACTGGAGCAACTTTCTACAGAACACTCAGTTGATGATTCACACAGACAATTCGACAGTGGCGTTTTATGTGAACAAACAAGGCTCAACAAGGTCACCGAACCTACTGTCCTTTGTTTCCAACTATTCAAGCTAATAGACAATCTAAACATACATGTCAGAGCTTGCCACATTCAGGAGCAAAGAATGTATTAGCAGGCAGCTCTCTCTCGGCCACACCTACCGTCGCCCGACAGAATGGATGCTCCACACAGAGATATTCACTCAAATAATCATGGAAATAGGATCTCCACTAGTAGACCTATTTAGCCACTTGATTCAACAAACAACTGACAACATTAAGTATCGCCAGTTCCAGACCCACTAGCATGGGCAACAGGCGCACTAAGCATATCGTGGGAGGGACTCAGCGGCGTCGCTTTCCGCCACCAGCGTTAATCCCACAAGTCTTACGGAAAATCAGTCAAGCGCAGAGCCTCCATCTGATTTTGGTCACGCCCTACTGGCCAGCAAAACATGGTTTCCAAATCTTATTCAAGAAATCGGTCAACCAATTCTACAACTTCCAGAGCGCTCGAATCTATTGATACATCCGCGCACCAAACAAGTGCATGGGAAACCAGAAGTATTCCAACTTCACGTATGGATTGTATCAAGGCATGCCTGAATAAGAGAGGTTATTCAGCCAGAGCGGCAAAAGCTGTCACGCTTGCACTGCGTAATTCAACTCGCAACTTATACGATGGCACAGTTTTACCATTTATGCTGCAAAGAAAGGATTTACAGCCAGATATGCTACTCATCCTCAAGTGGCGGACTACTTATGTTATCTACGACAAACTAAGAATCTGAAAGGCTCAACTTTGTCCACTTATCTTGCAGCATTAAGCTCTGTCATAACTATGAGAGCGAGCGATCAAATTAACAAAGACCCCAGAGTTACTAAGCTTTGCTCTGAGCATTCCAATTGGAGGATCACAAGCGGAAGTTTCAAGCTCCAGCTTGGGATCTAAATATAGTGCTCCAACACCTCACTAGTGAGGGTTATGAACCATTAGAATCTACATCGTTTGAATCACTGACCCAGAAAACTTTGTTCCTGCTAGCCCTAGCTACGTCTGCCAGGATGTCGGAGATTCACGCCTTGGATTCTGAGAACACGGCTTTGATGATATTCATAACGCCGGCACACCTGGGACTACGGCTGGGATTTTATAGCTAAGAACCAATTGCCAGGTCAACCAGACAGATTATTCCACGTCCCAGCTCTCTCATCCATTCTTGGACCTCAGGATACGATGGATCTATCACTATGTCCAGTAAGAGCACTGAAAATATATCTCCACCGATCCAAACAGAGAAGAGGAAAATTCAAGAGATTATTTATCCCTCTATCTACAGCTCATGAGCGGAAGTCTCGCGTACTACTATCTCAATTTGGATCAGAACTGTCATACAACATGCCTACAAGGCTGCAGGACTCGACCCTCCAAGAGCTGCCAATCCCCATGAAATTAGAGCACTAGCATCAACACTAGCTCTATACGGCAACTGCTCTTTGAATACCATCATGGAGGGCTGTTTCTGGAGATCCGATATGGTGTTTGCCAACCACTATCTGAGAGATATTACCACCAAGGACGTCTCAGGTATCCACCATTTTGGTCCCATGGTCCTCGCTCAACAGTTGACAGTTCCCAGGAGAAGATAAGTCAATCTTACAGATTTATACTTATCAGATATCAGTACTAAATAGCTACATGCTATATATATATTTTGCTTAAGTTCAATCTATTATCTTAAGCTCAGTACTATGTTTATTATATCATACAATATATTAGCTAACAACTCTAGAAGTTTGCTACTATATTTAGCTTAAGTTTCATAATATCTTAAGCTCAGTAATATGGTCACAATTTATATATACATTAGCTAACAAACTCTACGGAGGTTTTTGCTATTGTATAGCTTAAGTTAAATTATATCTTAAGCTCAGTACTATACTCATATAGCTTAAGTTTATGCATATCTTAAGCTTAGTACTTTGGTTACTGCATAAAAGTATATTAACTATAAACTCAAGGAGTTTATGCTATCACATTAACAACTTAAGTCTACTAGTCTTAGGTTTTGTACTAATGTTGTATATACTTTATCATAATAAGTATATTGTAATAGTTATATTGTAATAACCCATATATGGCAGCTGATAACTTAGCAGCAGGAATTCATCAGTTCAGTGCCTTTATGAAGTTCCCATAGGGTTATTACAGTCATTACAATTCAAATCACTAATTATCCAAATCCAAAGTATTATATAATCCCACCTCCATAGCCGTTGGATTCTACAAGCAAAAAAGCATGAGTCAGGATAAGGAAAAATATGTAATTTTCTGAGTAAAATTGATATTTTATACTTATCCTGACTCATGAGGTAACCCTCCGTCCTCCCCACATAACACTTTGGATTTCCTGTAAATTCAAGTGTTGGGCTTCGCTATAAGGAGAGAGAGTGAGGCACATGGTGGGAGGTGGGCCCTCGTTCAGCAGCTACGAGGGGAAAGATAACTCAGGGTGAGTACTAATTAGTGATTTTTACATTGAAGGGAACTTCAATTGGGAGATACAAGTGTTCCACTATGTTGTTAGAAGAAAGAAGAAGACAAGCAAAAAGCATGAGTCAGGATAAGTATAAAATATCAAACATGTTTTTCCTTATCCTGACTCATGCTATTGCTGTCTTCTTCTTCTTGCGAACCTAGTGGAACACTTTGTATCTCAATTGAAGTTCCCTTCAATAAAAAATCACTCATTAGTACCCACCACGAGTTACCTCCCTTCCACAAGCTTGGGAGCGAGAAGCCACCAACCCATGTGCCTCACTCTCTCCTTCTTCGCCCAGTGAGCAAGGCGTGAGAGCACCTGTGTCTCCCTGCACACTATATCCTTTATTTATATTTAGTTTGTTACCTCTTATATTCATCTATAGAGGTGTAACTAGTATCATTATTCAACATGCATTGATAATTATTCGTGTTTCTGCTGCTTGATTCACGGTTAGCCGTGTTTACTCAGCAGTTTCGCGTTAATAAAATCTGCACTGTTTGTAAATTGCGTTACTCTGCTACCGATCCACATTTAAAATGCCCTAGTTGCATTACTCCATGTTCTATTGTTTCTCGTTGTAAATTATGTATTAATTTACCAATTTCTGCCTTTGATAAATATTTATGTTCCGTTTTGAGGCGGAAGGCAGATAAATCTTGAAACAATCTTCAGTCATGGCTAATAGATCGAGTCAGATATATCCTGAGTTACCTTCGGGGATAAGCGTGGGGCCTTGATCCGCTATATCCTAGAAGCGACCTGCTTCCCAGGGCGTTCCTTCATCACAGTCTAAAACTAGAAGAGCTTCCACGTCGTCTCAGCGTGCGCTCCGAACCCCCAGGTCTACAGCCTCGTCAAAGGGAAATCCACGAAGGCTACTAAAAACTTTGCTTCTGATATTCAGAATTATGTTTATATGATGATGACATTCCGATTATCATTCCAGATGTATGTCATAAGAAGTGACCAGTATCGGCTACCGTCACTTCAGCACAGATCAACATGCAATCAGAGATGCCTCACGCTGGCTGGCCGGAGATTATAACTGAGGGTCACCGTCACTATCACAGAGGACACCCTCAGCGCCAGACCATCCCAGACCATCCCAGGCGACCTGGTCAACCAAATCATGAGGCTGATGGAAGACCGTTCACGTCTTACAGAGGCCTCAGAGCCACGGGCCTCAGAGCCCACCCCATACTAAGTCATACAGGGCCTTAGAGCCCGCCTTGGCTTCGCATAGGGGCCTTTGAGCCCACAGACGCAGCCTCCGTGAAGGGCAACCCAGCCCGTAGCGAACACTTCGCTATGGAAGTCCCATGGCACGCCTCGCGAAGAAGAGCAGGAGCCTCACTAGTTCACGAGGGACATCGCGGAGAAGGGCTTCAGCGGGCCTACACCCTGACTCAGAACACAGAGGTCGTTAAAGCGAAGAAGCAAGAGGCTCAACGGAAGCAAGCGCCGGAGAGCCCACACCCTGTAGAACACAGAGGTGGATTTCGCGTAAGAAGCAAGCTCATATATGAGTTGCGGGAAGCGCCGGGAGCTGTACAGATCGAGCCCACACCCTGTAGAACACAGAGGTCGATTCGATGAAGCAAGCTCATATATTGATCGGACTCTAGACGCCGCTAAGGAAGTCCCAGGCGCCTCAGCGAAGAGCTAGAGCCTCACCAGTTGAGAGGGACATCGCGGAGAAGGGCGCAGCCGAGCCCACACCCTGTAGAACACAGAAGGTGGATTCGCGAAGCAAAGCTCATATATTGATGGGACTCTGACTTCGATGCCGGCGAAGGTCGCGAAGGCTAAGTGGCTCAAGTCTACTTCACCCAGAAGATCTAGAAGCGTTGCCGAGATCTTGGCGAAATCCCGTTCGCCGAGGAAGTCTCCTCAAGGTCTCCATATACTAGCCACTTTCGTCATATATAGCCACTCGTCAGTCCATTCAAGACATCGCATGAGTTGTCTATCAAGCTGTAAGCCATATGCGTCTACAAGCCTCTGCGAAGACAATTGCACAGGCTATTTACAACACAGAACGTCGCTGTATTAATTTATCAACAGATGAAGAGCCTAATTAAGGATCGTACTACGATACGATTATCTACATGCGTGACCATTACGCAGATCTGCAGACAATTCAATAACGAAATTGAACAGCAGCCTTGTTACAACGAGTAAAACTCATAATCGTCAATGATTTCCTGAGAAGAAATATGTAAAACAAGTTCAGCTTTAACAGTCTACAAGCTGACAACTTGCAAGGTTTATTGAACCTTATATAAGGAAGTCGAATTATCTTCAAGACTGAAGTTACTTTCACGACAGCCTGGAAAATAACCTACCAACATTAATATTACAGAAGCGAGGTATTTTTGCGGAGGTTTTAGCGTTTACCATCAACCCTTGAAACGCGTGGTCACTTTCGGGTAACCGGGGAAGCTTCTACGGTGAAGACCGGCGATTGTTCTAATATCAAGCGGCGGCACTATATTATACAAGGTTCCTTTTCCTGCTACACGGTGACATCACAGCGGGTACTCTACAGAATCAAATGCCTTGTTCTGATTGGACCGAGATGGACAGCGCCCTACATGAGAGGTCGATCATAGTTCACAGTTCAACACATAGGTTGCAAGTGACAACAATATATCAGTGAGCGAGCAAGCCTCCTTACAGTCCAGCTAATCTGAACCTTCATGATTGGGCTGCCTTCTTGAGGTTAGAGACCTCCCTGTCAAGTAAGGGCGAGGGCGCGGCAGTCAGGCGATTTTTACATAAAAAGTTCAATGATGGCAGTCACCTGGTTGTGCACCTACATCGTCAAACGCACTGCTTAGCGAATTTACCTCGACGGCGGGATACAAATGGATCCAAATCCATAGGCGTCTCAGACTACAGTTGAATTCATCATCAAGCTACTAACACAACTAGATGGTTAGTAAACCTACTTAAGTTGGACCTAGAACCTTCATGAAGATCTGCTAATTTTAGGTTTTGATTTGTAACGGCGCAGAATGGTAGTAATTGTACGGAGAACCATGGATCAAGATCCAACAGTCATTTCCACAAGCCTTACTATCTCCGCTACCACTCACGACAGTGACAGAGTCTGTTGGGGTTCGCACTTCAGCTCAGCTCAAGACATGACAGGCAGAGGCAGACTACAATTACATCCATTACAAGTCATCATCAATTAGCATCTAAGGCGAATCTCTACCGTTCAATTCACCGATTCAGGTCAAACCTCATCTACTATGGTGGACCAAGAGATCAATGTTTGAATAAGGCGTCTCGTTAATAGAGCTGGAATCGATAACACTTTCTCGTAGATGTGTCACTATAAAGGTTAGAGCCCATCTTGCCAACAGGACGGCATCAGGGCTATGAGCAATCAAGAGAACAATTACACATAAATCTGCTAGAGATGCAAGCAGTAATAACCGCATAATGCGCTGGAGCAACTTACTACAGTATACCCAGTGGATGATTCACACAGTCAATTCGACAGTGGCGTTTTATGTGAACAACTAAGCTCAACCAGGTCCCCGAACATATCGACTCTGTTTTCAATTGTTCGATTTAATCGACAATCTCAACATACATGTCAGAGCATATCACATTCAGGAGCAAAGAATGTGATAGCAGGCGCTCTCTCGACCACACATACCATCGCCGACAGAATGAATGCTCCATACAGAGATATTCACTCAAATTATCAAGGAAATAGTAACTACACTAATAGACCTATTTACCACTCAATTCAACAAACAACTGACAACATTACGTATCGCCAGTTCCAGACCCACTAGCATTGGCAACAGGCGCACTAAGCATATCGTGGGAAGGACTCAGCGTGCGCTTTTCGCCACCAGCGTTAATCTCACAAGTTTACTCAAAATCAGTCAAAAGCAGAGCCTCCATCTGAATTTGGTCACGGCCTACTGACCAGCGAGCGTGGTTTCCAACTCTTATTAAAATGGACAACCAATACTACATCTTACAGAGTGCTTTCGAATCTGTTAATACATCCATACACCAAACAAAGCGCCCGCGGAAAGCCAGATATATTCCAACTTCACGTTTGGATTGTATCAAGGCGTGTCTGAATAACAAGTTATTCAGCCAGAGCGGCAAAGCAGTCTTGCTTGCCCTGCGTAACTCAAATGGCAACTTATACGATGACAAATGGCACAGTTTGTCAATTATGCTGCAAAGGAAGGATTTATAGCTAGATATGCTACTCATCCTCAAGTTTTGCTATTATATATATAGCTTCAGTTTATTCATATCTTAAGCTTAGTACTATGTTTACTTCATAAAAAAGTATATTAGCTGATAAACTCTAAGGAGTTTTTGCTATTATATATTTAGCTTAAGTTTAATCATATCTTAAGCTCAGTACTATGTTTATATCATAAAAGTATTTTAGCTAACAAACTCTAAGGAGTTTATGCTATCATATTAACAAGCTTAAGTCTATTAGTCTTAAGCATTGTATTAATATTATATATACTTTTATCATAATAAGTAAATTGTAATAACCTTTATATGGCAGCTGATAAGTTACAGCAGGAATTCTTCAGTTCAGTGCCTTTATGAAGTTCCCATAGGGTTATTACAATCATCTCAGTTCAAATCACTAATTAGTAAAATCCAAAGTATATATAATCCCACCTCCTATCCGTAGAGTTCTACAAGCAATAAGCATGAGTCAGGATAAGGAAAAAATATGAAATTTTTTAGAGTAAAATTAATATTTTTTATACTTATCCTGACTCATGAATAAGCCCTCCGTCCTACCCACTTAACACTTTGGATTTCCCTGAAAATTCAAATGTTGGGCTCAGTATATGAGGAGAGAGTGAGGCACATGGGTTCGGGTGGCGCCCTCGTTCCCGAGCTTGTGGAAGGGAGGTAACTCGTGGTGGGTACTAATGAGTGATTTTTTATTGAAGGGAACTTCAATTGGGAGATACAAGTGTTCCACTAGGTTCGCAAGAAGAAGAAGACAAGCAATAAGCATGAGTCAGGATAAGTATAAAAATATTAATTTTACTCTAAAAATTTCATTTTTACTCAGAAAATTACATATTTTGATATATGTGATGTCACCTCTTGATGAAGTGAAACTTTATGTTTCACATCACTAGTCTTGACTGCATTATTAATAGAAATGCTGTGGTGTAGCTTGAATACTGCTGATTCAATGTTAACCAACATTTTCTCACTTTACCACCTCCAATATATTATTTCATTCTGAAGTAATAATCTTTTTTCTAGAATGGCTCTCAGAAATGCAATCTGTCCAATCAGGTTGAAGGCCTTGACAAGTCGAAAATATTCTCTCAAACTAGCCCTGGATCGCAGCAGGCCAAGAACAGGTCAGGGGCAGGATCGGACAAATCTGTAGCTGCTTCTAACAGTACTGGTCATGACAACCATGTTGCCATGGGAACAGTTGCCAAGGAGGATGGAACTACTTTAGATGAAGATATGTCGAACAGTCCAAATGTCCATCTAGAAGTCACTGCCCTTGGTAGGGCAACATTTAAAGGTGCTTGTCAAGGAATTGTTGTGAAGAGAGTTTTAAGTGTTGTTTAAACAGTTTCCTATGCCTTGTCTGTTAACCAATGAAATGTCTTCTCATTTATCCAAAGGGTAATCTGTATTGTACAGTACGTGAATATTGAGGTTTACTTCTGTTTAAGAATTAATGCACAATTGCAACAATTATAAAGGCAGTGATTTAATAGTGACAAACTGTTTGCCCAACAGGGTCCATTGACACTGACAACAGCCGGCTTCTGTATGACGACCTGAAGAGGGCCGAGGAGTCCTTGGTCCTTGCCTCCTACCTCCATCTCCTGTACCTCGTCACGCCCTATGACATGGCACGTGACCTACACATACCATGGATGGTCTACTTTGAACAGGTAAAGTCTGGAATGTGTCCTTGTTATAATGATTAATCTGTTGGAATCCAGCACTCTCCATGCTGTTGGCAAAATGGAGGGTGAGCTTTACATGAGTTTGAGTGTACTATGGTCTAACTTGCTAGTCCAGCCGAAATTCCAGCAGGGGTTTGCGGATAATTTGTTGAGTATATTTCAGGAAGTTGGGCTCAAATCAACCTTGACACCAATCTATCCTAACTGTCACATATTGACTGAGAAATCTAAGACAACAAGAATGTGATGTGGATTTACCCTATGAATTTTGTTAACATGTATGTTGCACAAATGTAATTCTTTTGTGTTCTTCTCAAGATGAACACCCTGAATGCTATGGAGATGCGTGTGGCTTCCCTCATCGGCGTCCCTGAAAGCTACGTCGCCAAGAAAGCCTCGGGGCAGAGTTGTAGACAGGTAACTCTAACAACATGTTACAGGCTTACAATAGATCTTTTGGCTCCTCATTAGGGCGATTGAGTGGAGGCTTGATGAATTTGTGGTTTGAATGGAATCGTATGGTAACAGCATGGGTCATTGATCTGAATATCAATCACATGTTTGTCTGGTCCAGATTACTTACAGGCAGGGGTCTTAGACATTTCAGACTGAAAAACAAAACAATTGTTTTGTCAAATAAGAGACAAAGATAAAATGCTGCAACATCTCCACTGTTACAGAAGGTGAATGAGTTTGTCATCAGCCGCTTCTACCTGACTCTGATGCTGAACGAGCTGTGGCAGCAGAAGACAGTGTGGCAGGTCGCCCGCGCTTCCAGGTCAACCGGGGCTTCGTCCAGAACCTCCTCTCCTCTGCGGCCAGCTTCGCTTCCTGTGTTTTCCATTTCTGCCAGGTGTGTAGGGGTTGATGTGCCTGTCTTACATGTGTCATGTGTTCCTTTAATCTCTGATTACCTATGCAGACATCAGTTCATTAATCAGATCACTAGCAAGTGTTGTTGTAAACAAAGCTTTCACTTAGATCTGATACCTGTTTACATAAGTCAGAGAACACCTCCTTAGGATGTCACATCAGTTGAACTCGAGTGAACTTTGACTGCTCAGTCTAAATGAAGGATGCATGTTTGCAGCTTTCTACTTAGATTCTTTTTTTTTACTATCACCATTGGGAATATATATACAAATGAAACCCATCACAAGACAAGTATTCCTTAATGGTACCCCCTTTTTGCCATGTCACTTGAGTCAAGATGGTGTATAAAGTTGCCACAACAATATGAGAATGCTGTTTATTATTACCGTTCAGAACTAAAAATACAAAAATTAGATATGCTGAAGGGATTTACAGGATGCGAATACCTGTGTCCTATACACATAAAAATTGACAATGGATGCAACAAAATTTTTAGCGCATCCACAGGGACTCGTCGTATTTGTAAAAATTTGAATCAAGTGACAATAACTTATCACTGAGATTGTTACTAGCTGGGTTATAGTATTATTTGCAATTTAATTACTGTAAATGTGATGATCATGATACACAATACAATAACAGTAGTAATAATAATATTTAAGTTTCTGGGACCCCCATTTTGTATTCCGGGACCCCTGAAAATTAAGAGTATGAGTCCCAGGGACCCTCAAATACAAGACTCCATGTAAATCTTATGTATGCTGGTTTGAATTCTTTTCGTCCCTGCACTGCGAATTAAGAAGCCGCAGTGCTCATTGTTTCATAAGAAAGTTCACCAGATGTGACCTCCTGTGGAGGTATCATCAGATCTTCATGCAGTGAGGTTTACTATCGAGCAAGAGATGTGATTTTAATGAGAGTGGATCACAAATCACCAACATCTGTCTGGCTGTTGGTGTGTCATCATTGGATAGTTGCTCTTGTTTTCAGCCATTAGTTTGTCAATTTGCTGTGATGTTGACATGGTACTGCTTGCAGCATTCTATTACATTCACTAATTCACTTAGTGCAGAGACAGGTCATCAGTGGTTGGTTCTTGCAGGAGCTGGATGAGTTCTGGGCCTTCCAGGACCTACTAGGCAACTTTGTGAAGCGTCTGTCCTACTGTGTGTCCATGGAGCTGATCGCACTGCTGGAGATTCCTGGAGTCAAACTGGTAAGAATGCCCATCAACACCCACACTTGAGTACACAAAATTTCACAGTTAGGGTTTGTGTCCCTAGGCTTGCCTGGATCATCTGCTTATTGATTTGAATACCAGAATCTGGTTATGGTCCCTGTTTTTTGGCGTGCCTGTGCTCTGGTTTTAAAAAAATAGCTGAACTTTGTCACTGTGGGCTCTCCTGTTACAGTAAATTGCGGAATCACTTTTCAAGAATTCTGTAATTGAGGATCAAAACCCCTTATTTTCCATGATTATTATTCCTGGTTTGACAGGACCAAACTCATGATTGTGTGTTTTCAAAGATCATTATGCATTTAGCAGCTGCTTTCCTCCCATGTCACCAGATGTGCTGTCATGTACCTGAAAGAGCATATAAAATCTATGCTAAGCTACACCTCTCCACTCCTATCCTTTCCCATCTTTTTGCTCCATACCTCTCCTATCCTCAGCTCTCCACACCTTGCCTTTCCTTTCATCTCACCTCTCTTCTCAATTGCTCTAGGGCCGATGGGGTAGCCAAGTGGTTAAAGCATTCGTTCGTCATGCCGAAGACCTGGGTTCGATTCCCCACATGGGTACAAGGCGTGAAGCCCATTTCTTGTGTCCTCCGCTGTGATATTGCTGGAATATTGCTAAAAGTGGCGTAAAACCAAACTCACTCACTCAATTGCTATGCATTCCTGTAGACAACTATCCTCTCCTTTCCTTCCATGTCCTCTCCACTCTCCTATCCTCACTTATCCACTATCCTCCTTTCTTATCGTCTTCTACAGGGACAACATCACAAATGTAGGAGGTTGTATTTAGAATGGTTTGTGACATACAACATTCTAGAACATCACATCACTGGTAATTCTAGGGTCGAGCTCGCCAGCTATACCACAGTGGACTACGGACACTGCAGGATGTTGCTGCCGCCGACCCAGAACAGCTGGTCAAGAACATTGAGCACATGCCAAGGAAAGCAGCCAGGCAGATTGTGGCCTCAGCCAAGGTGAATATTTCCTTTGCGATGAAAGGCCAGGTTTTCTTTGGGTGTGGGGAGGAGGATGGGGTTAAGGATTTTGTTAGTTAACATTTTTCTTATATCTGAACATCAGAGTTAACAAAACAATTTTTCATTTTCACACTTTTTCTAGGTTTTGAATTTGGAAATTCATAAACAAAATTTAAAAAGTCTGTTCTAAAAAGTGTTTGGAAGTGCATACTGAAATGAATCAAGAACATTGGACTAATCTTTTCAAATATTATATTTATTGGCCCCCGCCGCAATGCGGAACGGGGGACTATGTATTCAGCTGCGTCCATACGTACGTACATACGTCCAGCTTCTTGTTAACGCGATATCTCATGAACTGTTGTACCCAATGTCTTCAAATTTGGTGACAGCCTACATTGTGGGATTACGCAGACACCAGTTGATTTGGGTTATCTTGACCTTATCTTCAAGGTCACCACGACACTTTGACCACTTTTCAAACTCTTGTTAACACTACATCTCATGGACTGTTGTACCCAATGTCTTCAAATTTGGTGACAGCCTACATTGGGGGATTACGCAGACTCGAGTTGATTTGGGTGACATTGACCTTATCTTCAAGGTCACCATGGCACTTTGACCACTTTTAAAACCTATTTAAATGCGATATCTCATAAAACATTGCACTCCCCTGTGTTTTCAATTATGTCGACAGCCTACGTTGGGTGATTATGCAGACACCAGTCATTTCAGGCATCTTGTATGTGACCAAAAAATAAAAAGTAGTACATACAGATATTCTATTCTTTAGCGGCGGGGGACATTGCCTTATCATCCAAAACTGTGTTCCACAGGAGATATCGCTTGTATGAGATCAAACGATATCTCCTAGGAGATATCGTTTTGACAGTAGATTTTGTACAATGCCCTGACAATGCTATGACGTCATGTACTTGATGACGTCACAATGCTATGACATCGCTGCACTGCAAGACTAAATGGTAGTACCATGTTCAGAGATGTACATTTTTCATTGAAAATTAATGAAGAGTGATTTTGGATGATAAATAGAATCTCACCCTCGTGTCTTCTGATATCAAATATATCAACACTCGTTGATAAAGTAAAAATATCCTCGGCAAGCCTCGGATATTTGTAACTTTATCAACTCATGTTGATATAATTGATATCAGAAGACACTTTGGGTGAGATTCTCTATATATCAGTGGCAAACACTTTCATAAAGTTCGCATTAGAATTTTCCTAGGCACAGTTAGGTAGTCTCGGGCTAGCTGTATGTATATGTGGATAAGATGTTATATTTAGTTTATATGAAAGGGGCTCAGGTCTTCATTCATGTATATTTTGCATGTATCCCAGAATCTCCTGTGCATGATACGGTGTCAACATCTTCACTGTTGAAATCAGAATGACTCTTGAGTTGGTCTCTATGTTGGTGGAATATGATATGATTCTATTGTGTGAAAGCTTTTCAAACCAAAGTGTATCGATTGATTAAAAGAATCTTGTCATCATGTCATATCATTACATGCACATGTTATTTGTGTCCATTTGTTTCAGGTGATGCTAAATGAGAAAGCAGAGACCCTATGGGTGGAGGTTGAAAGTCTTGTTGCCTTACCCATGGTTCAGTTAGGGACTTCATCAGGCACTAGTCACTAGTCAGTGAGGAGTATGATGTCACCTGTGGCATATGTCCAGCTGTCTACATGCTGCAAGTCTGTGCAGGACAGATGGATGGAACTATCCTGTCTCATGCAATGCACTGACCAAGTTGTTGAGCAGCCTGATTAGCCTAATGTAATCAGAGTAACTTAATGCTTGAGGAACCTGTGCTAGCATAGTCTGTGTCACCATCTTGTTACTACCCTTTGCCACTGCAGGATCCAATTGTCATGGTTTAATGTCTCACATTTCCCTGTTGTGATCTTAGCGCAGTTAGCACCGTACCTGTACTCATGGGTTTCAGCAAAGTGGTGTAATGTCAAGGTCTTGTAACCCATGAATATCCGGGTTAAAACTGGTCTTCAGCAACCCATACTTGTCGTAAGAGGCGACAAACGGTATAGGTTGTTGATGATCGCCGCTGTATAACTGGAATATTGCTGAGTGTGGCTTTAAACTACATGAAACAAACAAGGCCTTGTAGGACTTTCGGATTATGCTTCCTGAACAATCTCACACACCGTGGTTGAAATACCGCTGAGGGCAGTGTTACACTATATCACTCACCGACGGGACCTCTGTTTAGGAATGCTCATGGTAGTACTAGTATTGTGTGTCATAAAAATTGGACTTGCTTCTGTTGGTGCAAATCATATATGATTTATGCATTAACTGAAATTATCTACACTGGTTCATGTATGATTAAATTATTTATTAACAAGTTGATTTGATGATGGTTTATTGTCTGATCATTTTGTAAATGCCTCTTCCCCGGTTTCCCATACTCACTCTGATAGCTTTCACCCAATGGGAAGTCTGAGAAGAGTATGATCCCAAGCAGCCTATTCTGGTTGTATGAGCTGGAGAGTCATGATGATCCAGGTTAGGATGGTCTCGAGCAACCCTTGCTTGTTGTAAGAGGCGACTAACAGGATCATGTGGTCAGGCCTGCCGACATGGTGGATGCATGTCATCATATACCATTAGTGCTGATCAATGCTCATATCCACCACTGGATTGTCTGGTCCAGACTTGATGATTTATAGATTATTTATATAGCTGGAATAATGCTGAATACAACATTTAAAAGCAAACAATGTAGCATTACTTTGTTGATTGTATGACATTGTTCACTGCATGAATCGTATCAGACTCGATTATGGACAACTTGCCATGATATAGCTCTCATAGCTGGCATGTAGTTAACACTGTAGTTAACTGTGATAGTTACAGTTAACAGTAGGATCTGTGGGGACAGCAATGGTAATGGTACATCAATCTTCATAAAGATCAGGGTACATTTGAAATTTCAGTGAAACGTTCCTGTATACAGGGATGAGAATTGTCCGTGGAATTCCGGAAATTTCATAAGGCCAAGGGTAATTTTTGTGAATCATCTAAATCCGTTGCCCCCAGACCCCCGGCTAGTTTTTTCTCAAAACTTTATTCTCATCCCTGTGTATAATGTATAGTGTACTGAATCTGAAATATGTTTCATTAATAACATATATTTATTTCATTAAAGAAATACATTATTGACAAGTAACGTGTCTTGTTATTACTCCTATTTATTCAAACAGCATAACAATGTTGGACAAAATCAGTGGGGAGACCTATGTTAACTGAGAACATGGGAGGTGGGAATCTGCTTGTCTTAAAACCATACCTGTGTTGTCACCAGTTCAGTTTTCAAACTTGAAGCATGCAGGAAGAATTTGTGCTCACCTAAATTTTGGTATAGCACTTCAAGTATCCCTCCCCCGTTGGAGGAAGTTTTATAAACTGGAAGCTTGGGACTTTCCTAAATTGATCATTAAACGTTTAATAGGTGTTCGGGCAACTGGGCCCATTTACACTTTTGCCATCATAACGGTTTGCTAAATTTCAATAAGTAGCAAAGCTGCCACATGCTTTAATATAACCAAAGATTACATTCTGAACTTCATGGCGAACGACATTCCTTTAACATGATAGTCCAGCCAATGAGAGGTCAATATTGAGACCTCTAAGAGATTCCACAATAGCCTTGCGTTGATTTACATATTTTTGGCAATGCCGTAAATAATGAGCCACATTATCTAGCTGATTGCACACAGTACAATTGACAGAAATATTTTATAAAAGAAACTCTCCTCTAGGATAGTTTCCAGATAAGTTTGATTTAGTAACAAAAGGCTTGATGTTATAGAGATGACGTCCATTAAAGGATGAGGCCGATCTCTGTTGTCATTTCGTTTGAGCATGGATCTTACTGGCAGTACATAATTCTGCAGGATAAGGTAATATTGTCATCCTGTTCAGCTTTTGGCAGGTTATTAGCTTTCTCATTTCCAAGTAGTTCAACATGATTGATAACGGTGTAAGAATTCCACCGGGCTCTATGCCATAAACAAGTGAGTGAGTAAGGGAGTTCATAGTTAACGTCACATCGGCAATATTTCAGCCATATCGTGACGAGAACATCTTACATTGAAATGGAATATGTGTATATTATAAAACCTGTCATCGAAGGACAGTAAAACAATTAGAATATCACAATTATATTTAAAACTAGTGTGGATGGTTAAAACTAATAGCACTATTAGGACAATACAAGATAAAAACAGGCTATAGATCGCCAACAACTGAAGGTAAATCACCATACTAGGAACCATGGGGACTTACATTACTTTTGCTACCTGCATGGACTCTAGTTGGATTTACACCATCCCTTCAGCCGCTGGCGATTGTAGGAAAATTTAGCCGGCAGTTAAAAGAACAACGATACTACGTTTAAAATATGGTAAAGTTACATTTTACTGTGAAAGTTTTGGGACTTGCGTACCATAAACAAGTAGTTATCCATGAAGTCGTATGCTTTATTACTGACTCACCAACTTCTTGAATGCAGGTCAAACAATTAAAAAACCTGTGCACTACTTTGCAGACTTTGCGCACTAGTATGAAGTTCTTACACGTAAACGTCAGAATCAGTTCAGTTAGATCCCTGCCCATGTCGGTACATTTAGCAACGAACATGCCGACCAAGCAGCCAAAGCGCACTTAAATCCCCATAAGCTAACCTAAACATACTATTGTCTAAAAACGAAATCCAAAGCCCATCAAAAAAATAATAATAAACATCCCCAAAGTAAGTCCAAAAATTCAAATTCTAAACTAAAGAATCAACTCACCCACCCCCACACACAACCCCCTAAAAATCCACCATATCACCATAACACTAAATGACATTCCCTCCTACCCCCAACGTGCAAATACACACACTGCAACGAAACAAACGCGCGAACATGTCCTACTACACTGTACGCACAACTAACAACACAGACTGGTGCTCCAGAGTGCACACATACCTAACACTACTAATCCCCAAACCTTGGGATGTTTCTTATACGAAATGGCCTTCACACACAACCCCACATAACCTACAAGTACCAATGATATAAGGTAAAACACAACCTACAAGTACCACTGTTATAAGGTAAAACACATACCCTGAAAAACCCAAATACCAAACTAGCCAACCCGTATCTCCGCACCCCCGACCACTTCTGTCAAATTCAAAATTCATACCAAAAAAATGATATATACATTTTCATCAGGTTGAAATATCTTTTGGTCATAATCAGCACACTTTTCCGATCAAACACTCCATCGTATGGTACCTGGCTGATTCGAGCCATTGCTCAAACGCCCTGAAAAAACCCTAAGCGAACATGATATTACGATACAACCATAAAACGAATAGCGATAACGACACGATATGGCAATAACACGACAAGATGCCGATAACACGGCACATATGCCAATAACACGACATGAAATGGCGATATGACGTAAAGCGACATAGCGACACGGTAACGCGATGACGGTACGGCGATGCGATATTGCAATACAGCGATATATTCACTTGTTAGATCTGGGCATACTCACCCAGGAGTCGCCATTTGTAATGTAGGTTCATACTGGTAAAAATTCAGCCACCCTACAATAGAGACAGGAGTGATGGTAAGATTTTAATATTATTTCTAGAGATGATGTCGGAAGTAATTTACTGGTTTTTCATCAGCTAGTAACTGTTAAGCATTCATATTGTTCTTATATAATCTTTGTATTTGATTCTTGGGGTAGCCTAGTGGTCAAGAAGACGACGGTAACAAGGGACCAAATTATCTTGTACACATATATTTTCCATCAAAAGTTTAGACTCCCTTAAAACACTCACTATATGTTATGTTATATACGGTTACATCGAAGATTGATTTCTCCACTAACTTGGGGGAACCATCTGCAAATTTTAGTTTAGAACAGTTGCCTGAAGTAAGTGGCTATGTTTACTCTGGTGAGTCTAAACTTTTGATGGGAAGTATAGATAGACATGACAAGATTACACCATTTGGTTTTGCCATTCAAGGCGCTATTTGCGGAGTTCATATTCGATATTATATACTGAACATCATTGAAAACGAACCAGTCTAAAATTGTCCATATTTTCATCAAGATGGATTTCAGCATGACAATGATCAATGAATATAACTAACATGAAGTCGAAGGGCATGTCCAGTTGAAAAAATGCTTTAGAAACAAATTCCTGTCCACAGTATGACTCTTTAATTCCAAAATGCATCAACATGCATCAACGCCATGAAAAAAGTGCGAATTTCATTCTGAAATCATACTGACTGTGACATTAAAAGCAGGTGTATGAGAACCGATTCTCACTGCTTCACTAACGATTGAGAAACGAGGAGTGAGTGAGTGAGTGAGTGAGTTTAGTTTTACGCCGCACTCAGCAATATTCCAGCTATATGGCGGCGGTCTGTAAATAATCGAGTCTGGACCAGACAATCCAGTGATCAACAGCATGAGCATCGATCTGCGCAATTGGGAACCGATGACATTTGTCAACCAAGTCAGCGAAACTGACCACCCGATCCCGTTAGTCGCCTCTTACGACAAGATAGTCGCCTTGTTATGGCAAGCACATGGGTTGCTGAAGACCTATTCTACCCCGGATCTCGACAACTTGGACTTGGCCACTCCACCATCGTAAGGCTTCATAAAAGACATCAGTAGACAGGCAGCACCCGTGACCTTCAATGACCTTGGCAACAACGTGTTACGACGCTCCATCATGGATTGCCATATTGACCTTGTCCATATCAGTGATTGAACACTGCCGACTGCCAGGACTGCTGCACTAGTTCAAGGTTGACGTGGGGGGTCATCAGCGCTGACTCCATGCGACGCCGTCTACACGCTACAGGGCTCCATGCTCGACGTCCTTACATTGGACCAATTCTGACTGACAGACACCGTAATGAGCGTATACAATGGGCTAGCAGGCATTTTCAGTAAAGGTTACAACAATGGCTTGGTGTGGTAGTCACTGACGAGTCACGTCTTCATCTACGTAATGCTGACGGCCGATTACGTGTTTGGCGTAGACGTGGTGAACGTTATGCTGATGAGTGTGTGGCTCAGACAGACCTTTGGCTGGTGGGAGTGTCATGGCCTGGGGTGGAATAAATTACAATCACAGGACTGCCTTCATGTCTGTCAAGGGAGAGTTAATGCCCTTTATTACCAGAGCAGATTCTTCAGAATCACATCGTGTCTGTCTTCAATCACAACCAAGATGTCCATACTTTTTAACAGGAGAACGCACGGGCACACACAAGACTTTCCATGCAGTATCTGGCCCAGCAAAACATCCAGGTTATTCATTGACCAGCACAGTCGCCAGATGTATCCCCCCATGGAACACTTGTGGGACGAAATTGGTCAAAGTCTTTCGCGGCGACAACAGATGCGAAACATCCGGTAACTTGAGGATGCACTATACTGCAGAAGTGGAATGCCATCCTCAAGAACTCTATTCGGACGCTTATTGACTCAACGAGGAGACGTTGAAGTGCATGTGTCAATGCAAATGGCGGTCACACGCGATATTGACATTTTGATTTGACCCCACGTGTGTTTGATCCTTTCTGACTGTGGAACATTTCAATGAATGAGCGTCTTTTCTGTGTTGTTGTTTTTGTCAGTCGTCCATCTGTTATTATCCACTCAAAAAATATCAATTCCTTACACGTGCTTTTAATAATCTGAACTTTTATAAGTGGTGCGTTTTCAATGATGTTCAGTATATAATAATTATTAGTACTAGAGACTATGTTGTCATTCTCACATAGGGAAACTTGAATGAATGTGTATAGATACTTTAGTATCATTTTTCAGCTTTTCAAGACTAATAGGGCCAGTTCTGGTTCAAAATTGCGCGAACGCCAAATATGTCTTTACTAGACCGGACCAAGTGTACACCATGCTTGGCTGTCACAGCTGTTGTCAGTCGTAATAGTTGGGGATGGTTAGATCGGAAATTTGATATTCCTGCAGGATTATCAGTTCCTTACTGTCAACTGACAACCATGAGACCATTCAAGAGGGTATGAAACGTTGTTTGTCAACGAAAGCACTAGGTCTCGCGAAGTGCCGTGACCTACTTACGGACCCTATACTATGGCTCAAAGTTTGCAGA